ATGTATGATTTTCGTTAACTTAGTAATCGAGGCACTATCAACGGAAGTGAAATTTGGCATTTCATATTGTGCGATCTAAGAGTATATTATGAGAGTTCGAAAACGAAATCTATATACCTTCAGTTACATACCAAACAAAGAAGTCAATTAATAAATTCATGGCTATATCATAATTGATGTGTCATCATAGCGTAAATGATGATATATAGTGTCATAATGATATCATATGTCATTCATGTATGATCGCATATGGACTATTCTGTACGCCTGAGAAGGTCAGAACGAGGATACTGTACATCTGCTTTTAAATTATTCAAATGCGAGTTCTAAACTTAATTTTCAAATTATTAAAGCATAAAACATAATACAATAAGTTTCTATTTAGTCAACAAGGCTTTAGTAATGTTCCTTATGTTTGACATTAGTCAGATTTGGAAATAAGCGTTGCATAGGTCTATTTAATAAAATTGAAGAATCGATGTATTAGCTGACAAGCAGAGAAAAAATATCGATGTTCTTTACGATATTAATGCAAAGTATGAAAAGAAGACAGATAGAATCGAAAGCCTTACTTCAAAATTAAAATAATCATTAGATTACTGATTAAATGAATATATCAATAATTCTAAATTTTAATAGACGTACATCGACTAATGGTGAATTTTAAATTCCATCTGTTGCCTATAACAAGATTTGTACGAGTGTCTGCTTATAATGCATCATTGTTAAGATACGATTGTCATTATAATCGTTTTTCCATAAATTTTTCTTTCATGATTATATTGAGTCTGACAACATGTTTGTACTAGTCATAGCCTTCCCAAATGACTCAAACTAGACAAAAGTCGTCGATACATTGATAGTTGTTCTGTAACTGGTGATAGTACGAATAAACATGCAACATGAATTACTAACAGTTTTTCTATTATCTAAAGTTTGAATTTACTAGATTTCATTTGATTCGAACAATTTTGTCTTGTTTTCATAATATTATTAAAAGAATATGTCTATTTCGAATGAAAAGAAAAAAAAAATAACTATTTATAATCTATTTTATTTTCATGTCATTTACAGTGAATAATAAATTTCATGTAATTTATTCTTTTCGTTCTCTACATTTACATAATTGCTATTATCGTTATCATGCTAGAACTAATCAAATAAAACAATCATTGATGTGCTTCTAATCATAAGACAAATTTCGAATCAATTTTTATTCTATATTCTATTAAATCTGTAAAATATTTTAGATACGAAAACGAGAACATAAAAATAAATTTTTATACAGGATTATTTATTTTATTCTTGAGCATAAATGACAAGAATAAACAAAGGCATCAAGATAATAATAGAAAAATAATAATAACAAAAAAAAAAAAACGTTCTTTTTTTTTCAATCAAGCTTGTTCAGGCAAAATAGATGTATTTTCATCGTCACTATTCGTTGAAAAATTAGTTTGTATTGTAGTTAATTCATTATTTCGATAAAGTATATAATGTTGAACAATAAAAACTAAATCAAATAAAACAGAAAATAATCCCAATGCAAATTTCGTTGGTGAACCAAATATAGATGACCAATCATTATAATTTGTTGCAAGAAAAAACATTTGTAATACACTTAATATACCACCAGTAAAATCAAGTAAAATATTTCCAATTGACCAACCTTCTGTAGATTTTCGTTTATAATTCATCCATGCTTGTGGAACATATTTTATCATTGTTATAGCTAATTTAACATAAGAATAAAAATAAAGTAAATTTAATGTTGATAAATGATTTGTAAATGCAATTATTGTTGATATAAATAAAAAAATAATTAATATACTACCAATAATACGTGCAATATATGATATACGTTGTTTACCACGTTCAAAAAATACACATTGACCAACAGTTATTAAACATGCAAAAACAGCATGAACACTGAATAAAACCTAGAATTTTTCATTTGAACTTTTAAAATCTCGAAAAAATAAAAATGTACAAAAAAATCAAAAGAAAATATAAGTAGTCTATCAAAAATCTTTGAAATTTTTATAGATTATTGTACATACATAGTATAATTTGAGATCTGTACTTTTTACTATAGATAAGAATATGATGAACTATTTTTCTTATTATCTTAATGAATTTTAATTGTGTTAGTATTTTATCGATTATTTGATGACATAAAGAAACATTAAATATGTTCCATTCGTTTTTAATCTCATGTTTGAATTATCTCAAATTGTTGTATTTCTGCCAATGTAATTTGTCATTCAATCATAACAGATCAACTATCATCAAGATTATAAATAAATACATGAACATTGATAACTTCATGTAAGTTTCTTTCTATTTCGAGAAATCGTTTTTTTTTTTTTAATAAATAAGATGATAGAAAAAAATCGAGAAACTAGCTCATGATAGTATTGCTTCAGATTTTCATCGATTGTAAAAAAGTATAAACTTTAACCATTTCGCGTCGGGTGTCCCATATATGGAACGCCTGGGTTTTTCATTATATGCCCATAGTAATACGACTTCAAGTACAATTTGATACAAGTATTTGAGGAGTTCTATCTATTACAAGGATAGAAAGACCAATGGGGATGATAATTTTATAGTAAATATGCATTTCTAATGCGAAGCTTTTAATGCTTCGTTTCGTCTGTCTTAAAAAATTGAAAGAAGTAGTTTGTTCAATCTGTGGGACTTGTACTTGAGCGTTTTGCCTCCTGTTCTGCCATCCGTCAGTATCATAGTATAGCACTCTCACACATGCGTATTCTATTCACATTTTCTTTTGTGCTGTTTACATGCATGATATTGCATTTGTTGGTTTATTCGTAGTACCATGTTTTGAAACCTATCATACATTGAAATACTTCTAATAAAAATTATATATAAAAATTATATTATAAAAGGTAGAGATCATTGACTTACAGAATTTCCAGCGATTCAGAAAGCTACTTTTCTTTCCAGACGCTCGAGCTTTTTACACACTGTGGTAAAACTAATTGTCCATTGGATACGAACTCATTTTTTACTGAAAAAACCCCGGCGCGAAAGAGTTGAACTTTGTATTTATGTAATACTAAGTATGTACAGTAATCCACTAAAGTTTCAAAGAGTTTACTGTTATTAAATGTGAGAACGATGAATTTTAAAATCGGTTCAAAACCTTTGGAACACTCCTTGTATTCATCGTTTTCATTTTTCTCAAAATATTCTAGTAAGATTGGTAAGAATAAAAGTGCTCATCACAATCCCTATTGGATTAAAATGTAAAATACGATGTAGCCTGATATTACTAATCATAAAAAGATTGTTTTATTCTGTCTATTTTGGGACATATTTCTTTCTCATTACTTTACTTAAGTCTCCACAAATATAAATAACAACGTAGTTCATATATAATAACCAGACGTTATCGATATACGGTCCGTAGGGAGGAGAAGGATGAGTGCGGAATTTCTATCTCTGTACTTCAATATTCTTTATAGATCATGTTTCACAACAGAGAGTATTTTGATAGAGTTAATGTTTCAATATTACAGTGAGCATGAATGTTTGTGTAATCATTATCTCAATAGATGCTGCTTCGATGACTCATTATTCAGTATTTACAACAACAATACTGTATATTCATATTAAAAATACTCGTATAATAATAATTCTATATTTCTTACATCATTAAGTAATACAGGTAAAACTCCATGTGGATGTTTAGCATAATATTGTTGTTGAACATCATCTGATGTATATAAACATATATTAAATATTGAATAACATGTATGACCAAGAATATTTAATGCTAAAAAATCAAAATTAAGTCCAACAACACTTTGACGACGAAAATTTAATATTATTTGAGGATAAAATGATATTGACCATGCAATAAAATAAATCCAACCAACAATTTGTATTAAAATATTTAATGTTTTACTACGTGCTATATCAATAAGAAGAAAATCATATGTTGATGATATATTTACTTGTGGTGATTGAGCTGTTACAACAAGATGTCCATGATGACGACCATCTATTAGAATTACTCGACTTTGATCAATACCAGTTTGTTGAGTAAATGTTATATTTGGTAAAATATCAATATAACCTTGTGTATCTTTAGGTTTATCATTATAAAGAAATTCAATAAAAACATCAGGTGGAATTATGTCTGGAATAAGAAGACGAACAGTAACTGAACGATTTTCACCGACTATAATACTAATATATGATGGTTCAAAAGCGATTACTGATACACTTTGGTCAGCATATATTGTTAGATTAATTAGAAGAAAAAAGAAAAAAAGTATTGATAGAATTTTTGAATACATTCAATCTATAATAAAAAAAAAATACGTAGGTTTACGTTTTCATTTTCTTTATTACATGATGCTACTTTTGAAAGTTAGTTTTTTTTTATTAGAATATTATATCATTATTTTTATGCCTGGTGTAATATTTCATTCAGAAACTCGAAATCAAAAATTCTTCATTAAATCTAATTCGTTTCTTTTGCGAATCACGAAAATAAACTCATGTGAATGGTTTTATTATTCTAACAAATCAGAATAAATACGTCGCCACATGTCTTTCTTTCTATTTTTATGTTGTTTTTTTTATTCGAAAAATATACTATTCTTTGATATGAATTATAAATTTCTTTACAAAAATTCATCTATTCAATTTCTATTAATAACATCAGTAAACTAAAGCGATTGTCGCGACTCATTTCTTCGAATGTCAATTTATCTCCATCCGGGCCGGGCCTTTTTTTTGCCATGGCTAATGATCACTTTTTTTCAGATTTTTCATTAAAATAGAAGATAAAAATATAAATAAATATCGACACTATTAAACATTTCTTATTTTATTCATCATATTAAATCATCTAAATATATATTTAGCATCGATTGTCTTTATACATATATATATTTTTATTTTTTTATAGACAATAAAAAATTTCTTCGATTTTTTATTCTTTTTTTTTTGTTTTTCTTAACATTATGTCTTATTTACATTTGGCATCAACTGTCAATTCATCAACAACATCATCATCATCTACACCATCATGTTTTTTTAATGTAAACACTAATGGTGGAGTTTCAACAGTACCAACACCAATGCCATCAAATTCAACATCCCTACTTGGATCTATCGGTGGTGGAAAACAATGGACAACTATTGGACAACCATCATCATCATCATCAACATTATCACAACAATTATTGTTAAAACAACCAAATTTTCTTAATACTCAACAAACAACATCATCACATTTCGATAATATTCTTGGATCATCATCTTCTCAAACACAAATTGAAAAAAATGTAAAACAAATAAAAAATCTTATATTTAAATTTTATTTTATTTTTTTGCTTCTAAGTTTGAATTACAACAAGAAGATTTTCCACCATTACCACATCGAAATACATTTCATGAAACAACATCATCATCATCATCAACATTAAATATTCCATCACATCATCAAAATCAAATTTCATCAACAATAACAAATGGATATAATTCAACACAAACACAACATTCACAATCACAATCACCTGTATCATTTAAATCATCTATTGATGCATTAAGTACATTAATAAGTCGATATCAAGTACCTGTTAATAATAAATCAACAACATTATCAAATAATTCTACAAATGGTTTACCATCATCAACTATAACAGATCAATATGGTCTTGTTGGTCTTTTACAAATGATTCAACAAGCTGAGAAAAATCCAGATTCATCAATGTTACTTAATTTTGATTTAACAACACTTGGACTTAGTATGAAAATTTATACTTTTATGTTTCTTTCTTATTGAAAAAAAAACCCATATAGAGTTATATGCAAATGTAGGTTGATTTGTAAAGTTTAATATTCTGATATTGAATATATAATAGAAATGAAGAATATGATTCGTAGGTTGAAACTAACATTTTCAGAAAACAAAAAAAAGGAACAATATTTAAGAAATCATCTTTGATGTTTGTTTACAAAAGCAAAAAAAATTCAGATATATAATGAAAATCTAATTTTTTGGTTATGATTAATATTAATTTTACTTAAGAACTTTACAAAGTGATTAAAAATTCCTTTTTAGATGAATCTTACACATTATTCAAAAACAAAAGAGTATAAAGTCTGATAGTCTCATTGAAAGTTTTTTGTTTTGTTGGGGGAAATATTTAAATTTAAAAACGAATACGATATTTTGTATTGAAAAATTCACTTATCTAGACATTCTTTCATTTCAATAGAGTTTGTCTAATAATGTATGAAACTCATCTCTATAGAAATTTATTATTTGAGATAAAATGAATAATAGAACTTAGAGAAAAAATTTTAACAGTTATTAAGCATAGAAAAAAAAAATAAATTACAAATTTAAATAAAAATATTTTTCTTTTTTTCTAGGTATGGAAAGTACGAATGATTTATATCCATCATTTATTTCTCCATTTTCTGATAATCAAGCACGAGCATATGAAATTGATTATCAAGTACCAATGGAATATCAAATGGGAATACAAATACGTGAAAAATTACCACAAGTGAATTTTTCAACATTAAATGAAGATACATTATTTTTTTTATTTTATTTATTTGGTAATGATTATGTGCAATTATCAGCTGCAAATGAATTATATAAACGTGATTGGCGTTATCATAAAGATGAACGTATATGGTTAACACGTATAAAAAATATAATGCCTGATCAAAAATATGATACATATGAAACAGGTGTTTATTGTGTATTTGATGTACAACTTTGGCGTAAAACACATAAAAGTATGCGAATTGATTATGATAAATTAGATGGTAAAAATAATGAAAACAAAAAAAAAAAATTTTGTTTTTTTTTCAGTTGTTTTACTACTTTTGTTTTGCTTGTTTTTTTTTTTAAATAGGTCCTGTTGTAAAACAACATCCAGATTTACTTGCATCAAAATTTCTTCAACAACAATATACGCCAATAACATCGTATAATACAAATTCATCTAGATAGTCGCTTTATTATTATTTTTTTTTAAAAATAAAATTAGTGTATATAAATAAGAAACAGAAATACAAATATCCTACGGTTGTACGAATGACGTTTGACAGATAACAATGTTTTCTTTTCTGTTTTTCTTTTCTTTTGGTCTCAGAAATTGTATCTTGTCATTGTCATATAGAGATGTTTGTGAGTGCTGTTATTTTACGTTCACTCATTTCTTCTGTTTGTTCGTCAAGATGTTGTCATTTCATTCATTGTTGTGTTTAATATCCTTTACTCTTCTACTTACTTTTTTCGTTTCTTGTCTTTTTTTTCTCCCCTTTTTACAATATATACTATACTATGTGAAAAAAAAACAAAACAACAACGGAATTCGACAATGAAATCGAACGAAATATTTATTGCGAGACAAAAAAAAACAGGATTGAATGTTCTTATTTAAATATGTAATGGATATTAATAGAAGATGAAGATATGCATAAGGTTAATTTCAGTCCTGATGTTATCAATATAAAAGATAAAAAAATAAAAGATATATTTAGAGTCTAATCAAGAGAGAGAAAAACCATAATAAATCATAGGTTAGTGACATGATTTCACAAAATTAAAAGGCGTATATCTCAAGATAATAAACTTTCCTAGAGCTAATTTTTATATATTACAGTATGTTAAGTTACTCTAGATAATCAGACAATATTAGTACTAGAGATTTTTATTCAAAGAAGTTATCAGTAAAAAATCAACATAAAAAAAAATAGGTCAATTTGCAATAATTAATGTTTTAGGTTAAAAGAAAACTTGAAATTGAAGCAACATTCTTTAGATAATTCTTGAAGCTACTAATTCTCTGTCTCAAGTGCATGCCTAGATTTTTTCAAAAAAAAAAGAAAACGATTTACTTTTTATTAGCGACGTGACGAAGTACGAAAAGCTACTCTTATAAACGTATAAGAAGTTTAAAATTAATTCTAAATAGTAGAAATATTTCTTTAGAATCTCTGGAAAATGAATTTTTATGAGAAAGTGCATCTATAGGGAAAATCAACAAAAACAGGATCGGACAATCTTCGATTGAATTCTAATTGTTTATACGGATTATTTTGTTTTTGAGCAAGCTCTTTTTCCGTAAGTATATGTAAAAATATTGACTTCTTCAACTTACATCTAATTGAACTGTAACAAAGTGATAATTCGCTAACCTTATGACAGAAAAGTTCACATATTCAACGATAAGATTTTCAGCAAGTTGAGCTCCAAAAAAACAGTTCTCTAGAGATCTACTTTTGTACAAGAACGAGACTTTTGTTTTGCTATTATCGCGTGATTATCAAGGTTTTTCATTTCTACATTTGCACTGACTCATGTCGCTAACAATAAATAAACTCAATTTTTTCTTAAGCCTAATATATTCAGGAAAAAAACTGTTGCAGAGAGGTTTTGAAGTCCTCTATAAAATGCATTATTTAGTTTTCAAAGATACTGTTCTAACTTGCGGAATTTATAAATGGAAACTCACTCAGTGAAAAGCTTTTTTCTTTCTTATGTCAAATCACTGTTACTGATTTTTCGATAATAACTTCGCGGAATCAAGATCTATCGGGCTGAGTTTTTCAAGATATTCAGAATAGCTCAACAAACTTTTGATATCTAAAAATTAGCGAAAACAAAATTTTGAGCCTAGAGATATAAACGTTTTTATTTTGCGATGTATACATTACTAAGGAACGACATTGCCCGTATATACATATGTTAGCTTTAAAGGGTTATTTTATTTCATATGATATCTCTAGAGTACTGTGGGGCAGGCCCGAATCCCGAAAAATCCCGTTTGTCCCGTGCCGTGGGACAATCGGGACTGTTCCGAAAAATTTTCGGGACGGAACAAACGAGATCGGGACAATTCAAAAATTTTCGGGACGGGACAAGCGGGATTCGGGACACGAGAAAGTTTGTGCCGCAGATCTCTAGTATATATATATATATATATATATATATATATATATATATATATATATATATGTGTGTGTGTGTATGTGTGCTTATATGTGCATTATTCACGATGCACTGTACACTATACACAACAATTTCGACATGTCCGAAACATTAAATGTAAGAACATTTTCGTATGAATACCATATGCTAGTTTATATTCATGTTGTAAATAAGGTAGAATCATTAAAGATTGAACCCCCAAAACAAAGGATTCCGTTCTATCATAAAATATTTGAACTATATATTTATAATTGAGAAATGCGTCTTACACAAGGACTACTCAATAAACTTAGCCTAATACCAGTCATATCACTAATAAATTTATTTCGACATTACTATAGCAGAGATGTAAACATGTTAGCATAACCAAAATTTTAGTTAGAAATAGTTTTTAATCTAAGCAATTTTTGAAAAAAAAGTTGCAAATAATGGACATTACAAATATTATGATATCTAAATATTATTTGTCATCATTTGATAACATATAGTTACTTTTTCGTAATGTTTTTTTTTCTTGTTAGGATGAAAAACAAGTGCAACAACAAACAAAAGATTACGTGAAAAATTTGTACTATATCGCGACGAATGGTTTAATTATAACTGCAGATTTGATGAGAAAACTAGCTCAAGAAATGAATTATTCACTTCTATAACGATCTCAATGTTGTTATATTGAACTTCATCATTATATTTTCTTTCTTTTTGTTCGACTTCATCATATTTTCATTTTTGTTATGCTGGTGGACTTCCTCCTTTTTTCGTTTCTTTGTTTAATAAAAAATGATTCCAGTCTTTATTTGAAAGGAGAAAATCAAATTTAACAATGATGCTATATATATCATAAAATAAAATACCAAAAAATGACATGTAAGTTACATGTTTGATTTTGATGAAAAGAAATAAGTTTGATAGTCTACATTGAATTTTACTATTGTTATCTAACAATACCGGAGTGAAAAATAGAGAAAATTCTTTTAAAAAATGTCATATTTGAAGAAATGTGAACATTATTTAGTAAAAAAGTAGATGACTTATAATTCTTATACTCATGATCTATTTGAGTTTTTATTTTGCATATGGATATGTGGAAATAAAATAATAGGTCAAGCATTATGAATGACTAGCTATTCTTTTGACTCTTTCAGACACTTATAAATGATTTTAAAATATGCTATCAAGTTCGTTCGATAGAGAATTTAATTCTCATCACAGTTATCGACATTGTATTTGTTAAAAACTGATCGAGATTTGTATAAAGTGTGAAAGATTAACATCTATTCAATTGCCGATCTGCCATTTGCTATTTTTTTAAAGATATTAAATGATATCTGTGAGCGTATAATTGTGAAGAGTAATGTTGAAAGTAAAAATCTTATAGAAGAAAAGATTGAGAAATTTTCGTTTTATATGATCATTATTTTGTCAAGATTTGTAGTATTTTTATTCACGACGGAACCTTTTCAATTGATAAATCGGTTTTGAGTTGAAATCATGTATATTATATAGACCCCAATAATCTCTCAAATATTCTGAAAAGAATTCGTGTCCATAGCTTATTACTGTGGAGATACTGCACTTTGATAGTATATTTTTAATCAATGCCGTGGTCTCTCTCAGGAACACTAGAAAAATTCGTGTTCAAATATTAACTTGAAACTTTGCACATAAACAGACCTTTGTGATTATAGTCTGTTCTGAAAATTTGAGATCTTTTTGTTGGTGTCATATACGTCGTGAGACTTTATGCTCTTATTTTAGGATAGAAACAAATCAAAAGATTTGAAACTTTCATAATAAACTACTCTCGTTAAGATCCGGTTCTATACAAAGTTTCAACTCGAAATTCGAAAATGAGTTTTCCTTGCTATCCTGAGGAAGACCACGATATTCATTTTAAAAAATACCGTTAAATTTCACTATCTCCATAGTAATAAACTAATGACATGAACTCTTATCAGGAAAATCATAACTTATTGGATATTACATGATGTACATAGTGTCGATACAAAAGTGATTTATCAGTTGAGAGAGTTCATCATCAGTAGAAAAAAACTTTAAATAAAACTAGAACAAATCTTTGAATGCATTTTTTTGACAAATAATATGTTTATACATTTAATTTGTTGTATGAATAATGCTTTTTCATAGATTTTCATATCATCAAATGCAGATTCAATTTTGAACACAATGGTTTAATTGTTGTTATGCACAATTGAAACATTTTTAGTACTTTGAATTTTTCAACGATAATACCTTGAGTCTGTTTGAAAAGACTGTTTTTCGACATTTTCATATTTTTCATTCTAAAACTGTTTCTCGAAAATGTTTATTCTTAAACCTTGAAAATGACATCAAATGATGCAGGATTCTATGAAGAACCTTTAAATGTACTCGAAATCTGAGAAAAACTTTTTTCAAACATTTTCATGAATTTTCTCATTTTTATGATTTCTGCATTAGTACAAATGCGTATACATTACTCTTATGAAAATTTACATCAACACTAAAGCTTTGTAGAAAAATTGAATGGATCGTTTTGTCAAGAATTAAATTGTCTATCGAATGCATTCAACCCGACGTTTTTGAATGGTTGTTAAATTGTCTCAAAGACTAAAAATAAAAGTCAAATATTCATTATGTCTATTTTGTTAGACAAGATATAAAATCCTACTTAAACGATTTTTTCAAATTGTTATTAAAAATATTGCATAAGACAAAACTTTTTTAACTTAATTATCATTGTTCAAGAAAAATGATGTAGACTATTTGTTTTTGTTTTTCATTTAACAGTGTACATCAGCTGCCACAATGATCAACACATGATTTAACTCTAAAGAAATAACTAACCACTAATAATAAGAATTTATATTTCAAGAAAATATTAACTGTGCTTCAAAAATTATGATGAACTTATATAATGTAATTTAGTTAAACAAAAAAAATCTCATTCAATTGAAATGATTCTTTGACACAAAATTTCCTTTTGAACATACTCAATTTTCAAATAATATCTTTTAATTGTGAAAACAGAAAGTAATGAGATAATGTGAAAGTGACACAAAATCAAAAGGATATGTTTACAAATGAGATTCCAAACGACGAATATAATTGGATCACTTTGTTAAATTAACATTTATTTTCAATTGATGAAACTAATAGAACAGATATTATACCTTTGTTCAATAATTTTATTTCATTCTATTATAAGAAATTTATAAATCAAAATTTAGTACAGTCAAAAAATAGTTGATACTGATCAATTATGAAATGCAAAACAAAAAGCTGAAATATAAAGAAGAAACAAAAAGCAACTTGAGAAGAAAAGCGAATTATTAACAACATCTTGTGTAGATAAACAGAGAAAATAAGAAAACAAAAGATGTGAATAGAATTGAATTTAACATAAGGATGTGGGTGTGACTGAGGCTGTGTGTTATGGTCTTTTCTGAATCCACACCCATGTTATCTCAATATTTCCGCAATGTCGGCTCTTTCGTTGTTCGAACTCGCAAATGAATATCACTACTCGAATCAAAATGGTAAATTACCTCTGCCTAGCTATTTTGTCGGATCATTACAAGTCAATTAGCTAAAATCAATGATGTCAGAAAATGTCTTACAACTTCTGTACAGAACAATCTAGGAATGTTGACTTTGCGTAGACCGAAATAAACAAATTTTACTATCGACTAATTCTGTTAAAAGTATTAATTAAAAGAGAAATAGCTTCAGAATATCTTTTTTAAAAACCTTCTTCACGAACTCACGTAATTATTGCTGATCAATCAAATTTTGATATTGTTTCGATAGCTCCGAGTCTTCTCCTTTGAATGGTAAAAATGGTAGGTTCCTATGATGTTTCTATTAAAAATTATTCAACAAACAGTGAAGTACATTATATTCTTAAATGAGTAGTATATTGATATGTATATGAATGTAACATTTACGTGGAAGTAGACTGCATGCAATTGATTGGATACATTTTCATAGAGCCAATACTAATACTTTTGTCTTATTTGCAAGTCATATGATAGGATAATGTTGTACAAAATAATCCTATCGTACTGTTCTCATTCAAAATAATTTGCTGTTATATGAAGATCCGCTGACAGATGCTTGATCTTCTTAAGTCTTAAATAAATATAGAAAACGTGAATCTGATATTTTTTTGCATCGATTTTTTTCAATAACCCCTATCAAGCAGTTCTATTGTCTCATACTTTTATATGATTATTGCTAAGCTTATTATGAAAGCTGATTTAGTTTTTGTACTGATATTCTTTTGTTGGTCAGAAAATCCAACAACTGCAGTTTCTTTACAGATCGATTCAACTATTGCTCCAAGAACTACTGCGTCGTTGGGATTAGTTGGTGATGCTGCAGATGTTAATACTACTACTGTTGGAGGTACTGTTCTTATCGGTGGTAGTGAGGATGTCGACGAAGCTTTTCAATGGATGATCAAAAAAGCAGGTGGTGGCGATTTTGTTGTGCTTCGGGCTGCTGGTACTGATGCATACAACAGCTATATTTATGAATTAGGTTCTGTAAATTCTGTCGAAACTTTGCTTATTGACTCTCGTACTTTGGCTAATGATCTTCAAGTTGAAAAAACCATCTTAAATGCTGAAGCCATATTTATTGCTGGTGGTGATCAAGCAAACTATGTTAACTTTTGGAAGGATACCAAAGTACATTATGCACTTGATTATTTACGTAACGTCAAACAAATACCAGTCGGTGGTACTTCAGCAGGTTGTGCTATTCTAGGTGGTACTTATTTCGGAGCTCTTCAAGGAACAGTTACTTCTTCTGAAGCTCTTAATAATCCTTACATTAGTCTTGTTACTCTTGGCCACAAAGACTTTCTTAATCAACCTTACCTTTCTGATGTTGTTACCGATTCTCATTTTGATAATCGTGATCGTCATGGTCGTCTTATGACGTTTCTTGCTCGTATGAGTCATGATCATGGAATATTAGCTCGTGGTATTGGAGTTGATGAATCGACTGCTGTCTGTATTGAACCAAATGGTATTGGAAAAGTATATGGTTATGGCTCGGCTTATTTTCTTACTCAAAATGGAATTGATAACACACCTGAAAGATGTCAGGATGGCTTTCCACTTGATTGGTATCGAAATCAAAAAGCTGTAAGAGTATATAAAATTCAAGCGACCACCGATGGTGCACACTTTTTTGATCTTAGTACATGGGCATATGGTACTGGTGGTAATCATCTGAATTACTATGTGCGTGATGGTGTACTCTATAAAAATGTTTATTGAGTGAATAATGGTAGACTGCATATGATTTGTTAGTTTATTTTAAGTATTTTGGAATAGCTTGTAATGTGTATAAGGATGTATTACGGAAGTATTGATTCAAAATATAACTAACAATAATCGAAATAATGCGTTTTCATCAATAGAAAAGAGTTTATTCACAATGAAAAGATGAAATAAAGCCTAATATAAAGCAAGTTATATTCTATAGGATATTTGTTTTTTATTTCAACACTTTATGTTTTCAACATTTGTTAAAGTGTCAACCCACTATTTATGTATATTCTATGGGAGTGTGGTATACTAATGCAAATCATTATTTCAGTCACAACAACACGCTCACATCCACATCTAGACCTCTGAAAATGAATATCGATATCATAATGGTTCATGTCTTTCGTCAAAATGTTTTTATGAATAAATATTTACATTTTATTTAAATTCTTCAATTCAACACCAAAAACAATATTATTAAAATGAATGATAAGAATTTAGTTCGTTGTGACCGCAGCCATTTCTGCTTCCATTGGAACAGTACTACTTTCTTCTTGTTGATTAAGTAATTTCGTAATGACTGACTCCATACCATTCTGTTGAAATTCATTTTGTAATTTTCCTACTCTATCATCAAATGAGTCTGATGAACCAGTTGATAATAAACCCAATAGATTATCAATTTTCGTCAAATCTGGACGTTCACCACTAAATTTGAACTAAAGAAAAATAAATTAAAATATAAAATATCTTCAATTAGTTTTTATCACTTACTTGAATTACGTCAGGTACATTAGCATCTTGAAATTCTTTATACATTTGACCTTGAGCATGCTGATGACGAAGAAATGAAATAAATACTAATTTAGCTGGATAGATTTCTGTACGATATTTCATAAATAAATTAAAAAATCGTGTTGACGTATCGTCAGCTAATCGAGCATCTGTATTCTCTTCTTCATCTGTCACCATAACAAACGTTTTTATCACTTCTTTACTATCATAATATGGTACAAGACCAGCAGCATTTGCTGTACAACCACTTGCTCTTGTTGTCAATGCTAATGTAAGAACATCTTCAATAGTTTTTGGTGTAAAAGCAGGTAAAAACATTTGATTATTAAAGAAGTTCAATTTTGCTGAACAAATTGCTGTTAATAATGATGAAAGAATAGTTGCTGTACGAATAGCAACATTCATTGAACTAGATGCATCTCCCATAACAGCAACTGGTGATTCTAATGGTAATTTAATCTTTTGTAGTTGAGCTTCAGCTATTACTAATAAATCGGAATAGAATGTCATTTTTCTTGATTCAGCTGAATGTTGATTATCAACATTTCTAGCAATTCGTTCGGCTCCACGTCCACGTCCAGTACCTCGAAAGCTCCTTGTTTCAGATACATTATCTCGTATTGTTCGAAGAAGTAAAAGACGCTCCATAAGTTTTCCATATGGTAATGTAATCTGTTCACCATTTCGTATTCGTTCACTGATAATATCATCTACATCTGAACATTGTAAATCTTCATAATACCATAAAATAGTATCTAATTTTTCTTCATAAGATGCAATTCTTGCTTTTGATTGATCATTTAAGTGTTCTTTAAATTGTTTTAAATGTGAATAAGGAATTTTAAATTCTTTAATTAAATTATTAATATTATCAACTGTTAAATCTCGACAACGAGATACCATTGTATCTGTTGGTGCTGGTGTACCAAAACAAAATGGTAAAAACCAAGGTAAAGAAGGAAAATCTTTCGTTGGATTAAAATGAACAATATCAGCTAATTTTTTCCATGGTTCTGTTGGCATATGTAATGCAAAATATTCAAGTTCTTGTAAAGTTAATGTTCGAGTCCAACGTTGAATATGCCGAGCAACAGCACCACTAGCTGATCCAGTAGATGGCTTGAGTTTATTTAAATTATCGAGATTATTTTTAATTTTACCTAATTTTGTTGCTTTTGGTTTAGTTTTACTTAATTCAAGACGTTTAAGTTGTTTTTCATAAACACGAATTTGTCGAGCAGCATCTAACATTGTTACTGCTTTAAGTACTTCAGTTAGAGTGAATAAACGTCGACATCGTAAAAGATTATTAGCTAATTTATGATCATGTCGACACCAAGCAGCCGCTAATGCACATGCTTTAGCTTTTTGTCCAATATCAACACTATTTTCATCAAGTGTGAATAAGGCAGCTAAATAACGAGGAAGATTTGTAGTTTGTGCTTGAATGTGTTGATCGATTGTTACATTTGCATTAACAAAAAATGGTTTAGGATCAACATTAATGTCAAGATTAGCTAAAGGATTGACTGATGTTGTTTGTTGATCAACATTTAATGATTGCGAGCGTGCTATTTGAAAGCCTCCACGGCGACCACCACGATTGATGATTCGACCACGACCATTGCGACCCCGACTTGCTCCACGACCACCACGACCTCGACTTGCTCCACGACCACGTCCGAATCCACGACCGCGTCCGCGAACCACTAAAGTTAAATTTGTTAAAAAACTTTATAATAAAATCTTCTATCTTACTTTTATTATTTTAAATATGAAATTTGATATAAGTGGCTCAGTTGAAATTATATAAAAGAACTGAGTGTCGAACCGTCGTTTGGTTATTATTGCTTGTAAAATTACCTTTACTCTTACATTCTTGATTTTTATATAGAGTAGAAATTATTACACAAAACGTCCGTAATTATTACACAGAAAGGTGAAATAACACTCAAGAGAAGAAAACATCAAAGTTTCTCTCTAGCCATTTATGTCTAAATACTGTTATGAGAAAAGTGACACGTCAAAGTTTCATCAGAAATGATGAAACAATATGTAATGTAGCTGGTTTTTTTTTTTGATCATAATACATATTCTTGCTTAATTATCGTTTAACTGGAACATCTATTATACTCGTTATTGTATCTATCCGGACACCTTCATACTTCATTTCATTTTATTTTCTCTTCTTCGAATTAAAAAAAAAAAGAACGACTTCAGGTGGGCTATTTATTTATAATAATCAATTGAAATACGCATAAGCTCATTAATTTATACAATGAATGTTTTATGAGATTATTCGATTCTATACAAGGTGTGGTTGCGAGTATTGGTATGGGTATATGGATGTAGGTGTTGGTGTAGCATCGATTCACATTCACACCTACATTCTTTCTTCTTTTCCTATTATAAACAAAATAAACAACTTTATCAGAAAGTGAAACTATTGTCATCCAGTAAATAACTTGATGTTCAATCTTTGAAGAGAAATCACAGGTTACAATATTATCATCTACAGACAAATGATGTCAAAAACATCTACTGAAAGATTAGTGCTTATCTTGATAAACATATGATAATTAATAGAATCCCTAGTAAGTGTACTTAATATAATAATTCGGTATTTTTCTTCATGTGCTCATTCTAGTATAGATTAACCCATACGATAGACGATGTCAATATTACTCTCAAATGTAAAGATTTGTATTGCGTGCATTAATCATAGATTTATTTTTGATTCAATTATTATTTCTACTCGGAAGTAATTCCTTGCTTTTTATAATAATATGACATAAGATAATGTGATGAATTGTATTATTCTTACATATAACAACCGATTCTAGCGCCAACTGTTGACTATAAGACTAATAACATTGGTTTAATATTTGACCGATCAATCTGTTCATTAAATAATAATTTTCTACGATAATACTTGCTCTTTGAAAATCGTCGTTTATTACTTCTTATAATTCCAATATGTATTGCTATTGCAATATATTCAATACCATTTGATGGTAAACAAATTATGGGTCTCGATGCTCCTTTGATAACTACATTTGATATTCTTGTTAACCATATATGGAAATTTCATCCTTTTATTATTCATACAAAAGAATTCAAAAAAAATTAATTCTACTTGTTCATATTATGAAATAACAGATCGTATTCCATTTATAATAAAACTTTTATTTGGTTCGAGTTCTTTTATTGTTAGTAATTTTCTTTCAATGTACAAAAACAAGAATGGATCAGTTAACCATAGGATTTAAATATGGCATATCTTTTTCAAGAAAATATTGATCAACATAAACTAAATTAATATTAGCAAAAATAAGATGTTTTTATTTATTTGTGATGATATTACTTTTCGTAATAAAATATATTGTATTTGTTTTAGTATCGGACACAGAAACTTTCCTATCTAACACTTGTTGAACAAGACATAACTTAGTACGATGTTTCATTCATCATAGTCTCATTGCATTAAGTAATGATTTTAGATGATGAACGACTAGGTTAAGATCTAGAAAATATCGGATAAATGAACATAACAAATATGAAAGGAATATATATATATATTCATGAATATTTGTTAAATCAAAATAGATACTTGAAGTTCAATATCAATAAGTGATGGAAAACGTTGAACAAGTTTTAATGCAAAATTTGAAGGAAAATAAAATTTTTCTGTTATTGATTTGATCATTTTAATTTGTTTGAATCCTGGAATAAGTTATGGATTATCGATGAATTTTGATAACATCAATAAATGAGTACTAATTCTAACACCAGTCACATTTGGACATGCTCTAAAACAAAAAAAAAGCAAAAATTTACTCATTATACTTCGATTTAATACCAATGATTATTATTCGATAGAATATAATATTATCTCTAATAATCAATAAATATATCTTCTTTAAGAATATGACGAATGAAATATCTTCTAGAAATGTAAATACTTACTGTAGAATAAATTGAAGACTTTTACATTGATATATACAAAATTCTGATCCAAATTCTAATTCAGTTATATTGGGTAAATGTACAAAATATGAAAGATAAGTAACATTTTGTTGTGCATTATCATCATCATCAGTTGTTTGACGAAAGATAACTAAAAGAAAAACAAAATGAAAAATTCTATTATCAAATTCATCTATATACAATAATATAATGCGAATTATTCTGTTTAAATAAATGAAAATAAAGCTAGATTCTTCTTACCAGTATTCAATAATTTATTCCATAACGATGAATAAGGTATTATTGGCATTTGTACGATAAGATAATTGATTTTTTATATAAAGGAGAAGACCAAGTAACAGTTGGTCTTGTCTTTATCAGATATATTCTTAAATCTGTTATATCTGAATAAAAAAGATGATGACCATTTATTGTTGTTGTTGATAGTGTGTCATATGATTCAGAATTAATAAACGGATTTAAGATCTTAACGTTTGATTTACATTTGCAATAATTAAGTGTGCGTAACATGACAAATTCTTCTAAGAAGAAAAGAAAAAGAAATATATTTTTAAATATGAACGAAATTCTACTCTTTTCAAAATATTCATTTGTATATTCATCATTTACTTATGATATGTGAATATTACAACTACATGAATTTAGTTTAAACTTGAAGTAAGGATTTCTAAGTCGAAAAGAAAATAAACAATCTTCGTATTTTAATTCTCATAAAGTCATAGGAATTTTTCGCATTGATCTATTATTAACATAATCAGAATTGACTTAAATTTCTCTTTTTCAATCAAAATTTATTTATCAAAAAATTTAGTTTTCCAGTAAGAAAACTCATTCTCATCCGTCATTATTTTAAACGCGTTGAATCAATTTTGTTTACCTGAAGTTTTACCAACAAGTCTCCATCAATCAATAATCATATTCCAATTAGGATATTTTCTAACAAACTATTGAAATGACTTGAAAATATAGTCTAAATTTAAGTTTGAAAAGCTTTTCAAAATTGATATATGAAATTCAAATTTAGATAAACATCAAACATAACGTTTTAATACTTGTTGCCACACAAAACCATTAAGCAATTCACGATAATATGGCAATGATGTCATTAGTGACGCAAGAGTAAAATTAAAACGATTAAGATTAGGCATACAACGTAAAATATAAGCAATTGAATAAATATCACATATAACATATATTATTAAATTGAAAGATATCACTAGCGATAATATGGGATAGTCCTTATCATTAAAAGATTGTGTTGAAATTGGAGCACTAAAACAAAAAATAAACATTTCATTTTCATTTTTAATTAATATTCTTTTAGAGATTTATCATCTAAAATATTCACTACTCGGAAACTTACTTGATATTATTATTTTCAACTGAATATTTGTGTTGTAGTGTTAAGCCTAAATGTCGAATTCCATGACAAACACGAAAAATTGATAAAATTAAATAAAGAGTTACAGTTGAAGATGTACCATATATACGTAAATGAAGTGATGTAAGATTCGAAGATATTGAAGTATAATTTGATATATCTAAATAATCATAAGAATGTTCAAGTACCCTTGAACGAACAGAAGATGATTTGTTCATTAACATTATTCGAGTTAAATTACATTTATCTTTTTCATTTATATTAAAATATGGTTTAAAAAGACTAAATGTAACAAGTCTATTTAGACTTTGAATTAGTTTAAAAATATTTTCAAATTTTGTTGATGGGTTTATTGAATCAAATATACATGATTGAAGATTAATAAAATTGTGTGGATTAAATAATAAATTAATCACAGATGAATAATCACGAATTATATCATGAATTTTTAATGAAATAACTTGATGATCATAATAAGCAGAGCTGTCGCGACTCATTCAGGATTGGGGGGGGGGGGGGGGGGTCTATGATAAGAATATTTCAATATCACCTCTTTCAAATATAGCGTTTTTCTATTATGTCAGCTGTGTATTGTATCGTCTCAGGTACAACAGACTAAGAAGCTGATGTAGCTAATGTTATTTTGAAATAGAAATGTGCTCAGTTTTATTGTTATCATAAAGACATGAACCACAAAAATGAACAATTAACAATGTACGAAAATTCATAGTAGAAAAAAAAGTCATTGATTACATGTAATTTTGACACGTCCATTTTTCCTTTGGGACCACTCAGTAGCCATCTTTTCGAGGTCCATGGTAGAAAGCAGATCACCTTCGACCGCGCACTGCATTAGATGAAAACACTTCTCGTTTTTTAAAGCATTTCGTAAATAATTTTTTACAATTTTCATCTTGGAGAAACTATGTTCGTTTAAGGCTACGCTTACAGGTAAAGTAATGAGAAAATTGTAGACAAGTGATGCCCGTGGATAAGGATGACCGACTGTTTTTAAATATGTAATGATTTCATTAATAGTTGTGTAGGACGAGATAACTGGTCGTAATAGTTCAAAATCAGTCAAAACAAGAGACCGATACGAAAGACCAGGTATAATTGAACACAATCGTTCAGCATCGTTGAGTGAAAACTGTGTAACACAAGCTGGTGTAACATTATGAAAAGGACGTAATTTGTTGTTTACTGTATTATAATAATCATTATAAACTGAATATAATTGATCAAGTACTTGTCGCATTAATCCTGTGTAATATTCATTCCTAAAGTAAGCAAGAAGAAAATAATTCGATTGCAATGAGTTCAATTTACCTTGATAAGTTAACAGCTGTACTAGGATTGTTATCAATACGTCGAGAACGCTGTCGAGGTCGATGAAGTCTATCGAACTCAGCATCAACATATATATCAAATGCTACTGCTCGTCGAATAGTTCTCTAAAGAACGTTTAGAGATGAAATAATAACGTGGTCTATTAAGTATCAATGATCGTTATTCGTACTTCAATCATATTAATCATTGTATTGTCATCGTTTCTCATATGTTGAAGAAGTTTCAGACTGTTAGAAATAACATCAATGACAGTGATTATATCGAGTTCTTTGCCTTGTAAATGAGCAGTAAGTGCATAGGTTACACGGGTTACATTTATCATAAACAATAATAATGACATAATTTCAAAAAATAATAATTTTCTTTTGAGACATATTGCTTGATGAATAGCTTCCTTATCGGTCAGTTGTTCACTGATATAAGTTAAATTTTCAATAATCTGATCGAATGAAACATCAACAGCATGTAATGAAGTAAATGAAGCAGTCTACAGCATAATATATGATTCGAAGTCATAAAGAAAAATTAATATTGCTTACCCAACGAGTTTCTGCAAGATTTTTAACCAGTAGACCAAACTCTGAAGCGTTAAGTTTTTCTCGAAGTATATGATGTCGTTTAGCACTTCCTGTAAAATAATTATACAGTTCTTGTAAAAGATAGAATAGTGAAATAAATTGTGTACTACAGTCGCAAGCATACTTAACTGCTAAGTTAGAAGAATGTGCTCCACAAGGTATGAAAATTACTTCACGTTGTAATTTGTCATTAACACAGGCTTGAACACCTTTGTTTATACCAGACATGTTGTTGTAATTGTCATAACATTGAGCAGTCCATTTATTCGGTGAAATATTTAGCTGTCCCATTATAGAAAAAAAAACATGTTGCAAATATCTAGACCAATTTTACTTGACAACTCGACCGCCGCAATTAGTCTTTCTTCGACATTGAAATTGTTTGTAAATCGAACAACAATCGTATAAATTTCTCTATTAGATACACCAGGTGTACTATCTATCATTACCGAATAGAATAAAGAGTTATTAAGACGAGCAATAATTGTCTGTTGAACGTGTTGTCCTAACAATTTTATGAATTCATCTTGAGATTGTGCGCTTAGATAGAAGACCCACACAGGAAAAATACATAGCAATACGCTATTTGTGTCTTATTGATAAGATGGTATTTATTACTTGATAAACGCTGAGTTTTTCCTGTTAGAACCAGTCATCAAATATTTTATCACGACGCCGTAGACGATTGATCAATTGAATAAAGTTACCTATATCATGAATAAGAAAAGCAAAATGTCAAGAGAATTAAAAAGCATCAATGATCGATTTTCTCCATTACCTTCTTCAGCAGGTTCATTACGAAATGGTAATCCCGGATGGGCCAAAAATCTGGTCGAGTCAATTAATGTAATAATAATATTTCTATTTCTTTTAAGTATTGCTTCTTCCTGCTGTTTAGCTTTTCGACAATTTTCATTCAGTAAATTGTCGACATTGCACGACTTATTTTTGAAAATGGAATATCGTTCATATGAAGCTTTATGAGCAACTGACGAAAAATGGGCTTGTAATTTTCCTTTAATAAAAAAAATGAAAATGTTAGACTTCAAAGCGATTAATGTTAACACTAACCTTTTTTATCACGCCCTCAGCCTTTCATTTTCGACCATGAGTTAACACCGACTTCGATCCATGCTTTATCTTTTTTTTGATCACCAGGACCTAAATAAATATCAAGACAAGAAATGCTAATGAATGAGTCAAGTGTTAAAATACTACCTTCATGAAATAATCTGCAGACAAAACAAAGCGCCGCATCTTTTATAATACTACATTCGATCATCGGCTACTCTGTGTACCATTTGCTGACGAGCTTGCAGGTATCTTTGGCAACGGCCAAAACATCATTTCTTGGAAAATTTGATAAAAGTGGTTGGAAAGGTCCAATACCTACGAAAAAACGTCGTTCTTCATCTGTATAATTGTAATTGGCAGGATAACCACCTAAGTGTGCAAATGTCAACGAACTGATAGGAACATAGATTTTCTGGTAAGAAACTTACCAGGATCACGTTCCATAAATGCTCGATTCTTTGGTTCAATCAAAGAAATATTATCACGATCTTTGTTTAATTGATTAATTCTTTGAGAACACAGTTCCTTCAATTCACTTGAACAAGTAACAAGATCAGTTGCATAGTTGTATGTAGCTTTCACAAATTCTTCATGTGTTACATTTGTCGATGTTGATTGTTTGAGGAGTAAAGTACATTGAAGAAGCATGGACTCAATAACGCGAAGTTTAATTCCAATGTTGTCATTCGCATCATCGTGCAACAACTCAGTTTGTAAATCCGTTGTAGAAATATGTTGATGTGGATCTAACAAGAATGAAAGAGTTAATTATTGTTCTTTTTGGTATTTACCATCTACGTCCATATATTCATCATTTTCCATTTGATTTGTTTCATATGGTTTCTGATCAGTTTGAATATTGGAACCATCGGCATTTGGCATATAAACTGGTTGACGAACATGTGGGTGTGGGGTGTGAGTGTGAGGTATGGGTGTGGGTGTGGGTTGGTGTGGGTGTGGGGTGTGGGTTGGTGTGGGTGTGGAATGTGGGTGTGGGTGTGGGTGGGTGTGGGGGTGTGGGTGTGGGTGTGGTCTTCTCTTCATTCACACCCACACTCACACCCACACCCACGCCCACACCCGCACTCACACTCACACCCGCCCACACACCCACACCCACACACACCCACACGACGAAATATAGTAAGCAAAAATTATTCCATTTTTTTTTGTTAACAATTAGCCATGGACAATCTCACCGTCGGTTTGTATTGACACATAGAGAATAATTAGTCTAAGAAAAAAAGATTACACGATATAAATAGGAATGTGAATGATCTAGATAAATTAAAACGCTCGATGGCCATATTTCCTATTGTAGAGAGAGTATGTAACTAGTGTCTATTAATGTTAAGACCAAAGAATTTTCAAATCTTCCAATTATTTTAAGTAACTTTTTCTTTTTTTTAGTTAATCCAAGTGAAGCAAAAAAAAGATGAATGTATGGCGAGATAAAATGCTTATCAACTAATGTTAGCGGGTTGTAATAGCATTCTTCAACCTCTATTATATACACATTTATTAAACGTTATTTTTTCTTTGTATATGGAACTCGGCAAGATAACCCAGGAGCTTCAGCACTTAGAACGTAAGTCCACCATGTAATGTTTCGTTTGAACATCATACAATTCTGTTTTTTTTATAGATATTCATGTTGTTATCTTACATGGTACCCTGCCGTACTGAAATGTCGGCTAAAAAAAAAAGATATTGGTCAGTTGACATTAGTTTTTCTTTGTTGTCAATAAACATTTAATTCTTTTTTTATCAGTCAACATGTGAATCTTTTTTTTGTCCGTTAAAAATTGTTCTTCTTTGTTATCAGTTAACATTTAATTTTTTTTTGTCAGTCAACATATCTTTTTTTCGTCAGTTAAAGTTTGTTTTTTGTTGCCAGTTAACATTTCATTCATTTTCTTTGTGCTAATCAGTCTTCAATTAGATAAAATTAATTGTATTTTTCTATTACTTCTGCATAATTTATTAAAAATAAAAGTTGTCTATCAGGTAAGAGAAGTCAATCAGTTTCATTTGCGCACACAGGTTTCTCAATGCGTCTATAGACATGGTTCTGGCAATGAAGCGCACAGATAAACTCAGATATTGACTGAAAGAAGTCAATACCGTTAATATTTAAGTGGTCGTTATTATTTGATAAGAAGTATCTTGTATTGGTTGATAGAATTAAAAATAGTTATAATCTACTGTTTATTTAATCTATGTAAGATGGACACAATGATTTTGAGAAATTGAACAGATTAATATCACTACATCTGACTGGATAAGATAAGACAATTCTTTTTTAGAAAAATGAATAAACTATTCAATAAATAAATAATTTCTTTTGTTTCTAATTAATATTAAACAATAATAACAAACATAATTCATATATGAACAATAAATCTTGTAACGAAATATATTTGTTTTAACTTAATTTAATATATTGATTCATATCCTTTTATTGAAAACAATACGTTTAATTATCTATATTCAGTTCAAAATGTATTTTAATAAATAGATTTCTATTTCATAAAAAAAGAAATGTTTTAATAAAGAAAATATTGATCATACAAAAACAAAAAACTAATTATAGTTTCGAAAAAAAAACCAGTTATCAAATATGATTAATTTCTAGAAAATAGATTTAAATTCTTCATAAATAAAAACCATTTTGTTAATATAAATTAAATTCATTTATCCAATTGATCATTATTATTAATGAGAAATAAATTCTTTTGTTAAATACACAATAAAAAATGATTATGTTATACAAATATCTTGAATAATTGTTTTATAGAAAATAGAAACTATAACATTGATTAACATGATTAAAATATTATTGTTTATAAAAGGGTGTGGGTGTGGGTGGGTGGGTGTGGGTGTGGGGTGTGGGTGTGGGTGTCGGTGTGGGTGTGGGTGTCCGTGTGGGTGTGGATAGGTGTAGGTGTGGGTGTGGGTGTAGTAAGATAGACTCAAATTCACACCCATACCCGCACCCACACCATTTTTTCTTCAAAACAACTTTTGTTAAAATATTAGTAAAATCTTTTCCATAAAAAAACATTTTGCTAATCATCGAATTATAACTCAAAATTGTATTGATTATACTGGGTGGCCCAAAAGTCACGCACCAAACAAAAAATTGAATATCTCCATTGAGGCTTGAGCAAATGAGCTGATTTTTTCGTCAATGATAGAGACATGTTCAAGCTTTATATCCACATGGACATGCCTAGACAGATCCTCTATTAAGTAACCGTATTCACTTTAAGAAAAAAAATTACTTTTTCATATATCAAAAAAAATCAATATGCTACAAAAAAGGGAAATTTTTCAAAAAAATAATGAACAATATTTTAGAGTAAATGTTCAAATTGTTTGCCTCCTGTACTAATACAAATCTCACAACGCTTAGCTGCAGAACGACAAATTGCTTGGCATAATTCGATATCATCATTGAGCGATGTAAATTCTTCTTTAATTAATATTTTTAGATGATTCACATCGCGAGGTTTTTGAGCATAAACACGATCTTTTATTATTCCCCATAGAGAGAAGTCACATGGAGTAAGATCCGGAGATCGCGGTGGCCATTCAATAGTTCCTCAACGACCAATCCATGATAAAAATGTATCATCTAAATAATTTCGCACGACTTGACCATAATGTGGTGGTGCACCATCCTGTTGCCATATCATTGTTTGAAAGTTTGGATGATCTTCAAGTTGCGGTATGATATTGTCCTTTAACATATGAAGATAAGTCTCTGATGTAACGTTATCTTCGAAAAAAATGGCCCAACAACGCCATTTGACCATATTCCTCCCCATACGATTACTTGTGGCACATTTAGCTCTTGTTCGATGATAAAGTGTGGATTTGCATCGCTCCAATAAACACAATTGTGTCTATTGATACGACCATTTATTTTGAATATAGCTTCGTCTGTCCGCAAAATTTGGTCTAATAGAGTTTGATCTTTTTCAGTTGAATTTAAAATCCATTCACAAAATTCAAGCCGTCGATCAGGATCATCTTCATTTAAAGATTGTAACAATCTCGGTTTATACGGTTTTAAATTGAGATCTTTCATAATGCGTTGTAAGCTTGAACGTGAGATGTGAAGGTCACGTACTGCACGTCTTTGTGATGTTTTTGGATTAAGAAGAAAACTTTCAGAGGCTAGTTCTATATTTTCTTCTGTGTTGATTGATGTTGGTCTACCACTTCGAGGTGCATCTTCCACAGAACCTGTCTCATCAAACTTTTTTGCTAGCCGATAAATTGTTTGTCGAGCTGGAATTTTATCGTCAGGAAATTCATGTTTAAAAGCTGAATTTACTATATGTAATGTTCTTCCTGACATCCACCATTGTTTGAGGATAAAAATTCTTTGTTCTTTTGTCAAAAATCTTGGCATCGATACATACGAGTTCAAAATAAGATATGATAGAAAATGTGGATCATGTAAGATATCAACGTGAGTTATAGGAGAACAGAAGGAGAAAATACGAAAAGAGAATATATATGAACACACAACACGTGCTATTTGCAAGTTCACTTAACCGATTACATTTTTTCTGAATAAAATGTAATTTCTTTATAGTATATTGATTTTTTTTTGATATATGAAAAAGTAAATTTGTTTTCTTAAAGTGAATACGGTTACTTAATAGAGGGTCTGTCTAGACATGTCCATGTGAGTCTATGGGCTTTTTTATTTCAAACTGAATTCTAAAATAAAAAAACCACACCAATTTCTTCCGAATCAAACTTTTCTCGCTTGAT